AGCTGGCATCCTCAAGAGTTCCCCTGAGGAGCCTTCCTTGCCCCCAACTCCCCTCACACACTCAGCCTTCTGCATCCTGGGCTGCACGATACTGCAAAGGGTGTTTCCCAGCAGGACCAGGGCAATGTGTTCATCTCATGCTTCCTTAGATCTCTAACAACTCACAGATTACACTGGACATAAGAGAAGCTTAAAAAAAAATTGAATGAATCAATGCTAAAATATCATAGATGGTAATATAGCTTAGTGACTAAAAATAGGAGTTCTGAAGTCAGACCATCTTGGTTCAAATCCCGGCTCTATCTTTAATACCTGTGTCACCTTGCACAAGCTATTTATCCTAAATTTAAGTGTCCCATAAATCAATAAAAGGTAGCACATACCTCAAAGGATCTGGGGAGATGAACTGGGACTATGTGTAGAGGCACCCGGCACAGTGTTTATATAAAGAGCTCAAAAACATTATTATTGTTACTTCCAGTGAATTCTATATTGATCTGCCTTTTATTGTCCCTACGTACTTTGTACTTTGAAAGCTTCCAGTTTTCTCGGCTATACTCAAGAGAACCTAACTATTAAACAAGGATTGTTATATCTGGAAACTATTCTATGAGTCCTCATAAGGAAAAATAAAACTTAAGGAAAGCAATGTTGGAGACCACCATCTATCTCCATCTTCTCCCGCAAAAGGTTCTCCTTTCAGGGCTCAATTCCAGAAGTTCCAGATTTTATTTTATTTAGGGAGGCGGTAATTCCTTCACACTCCTACACTGTCATCACTTTCCTGCAAGGCTATTTCTGGGTTTTATTCCAGGTAGTTGGAATTACAAGATAATCAAGTAAGCAGAGAGTTATTACAATCATGATCTACCCATAGAATTATGATAAGATGTTCTAGTCACAAGACAATACTGATACTATCAGAATAAAAAGTCCACTACAAAAAATATACAGGAGATGTGGACCCCTCACTAGTGATGTAAGCAAGATTCATATGTAGGTGTAGCTATATACATATATACGTATGCCTATATTGTATAGAGACATGTTATACACATATAACTGTACTTTCTTTCTGCTTCAAACTACTCACACTGAGGCCATTAAATTCCACCATATTTACTGATTCCTCTTGATACACTTTAGATGTGCATCCCCTCCAAATTTCATGCTCAAATGAGTCCTCAATGTTGGAGGTAGGGCCCAGTGTGTGGAGACTGAATTATGGAAGGGGATTTCCTCATGAATGACTTGGTGCTTTCCTAAGATGGTGAGTGAGTTCTCGTTAAGAGCTGGCTGTTTAAAGTGTGTGGCACCTCCCCACTGTCTTGCTCCTGCTCTTGCCATGGGATATGCTGGCTCCCCCTTTGCCTTTTGCCATAATGGAGAGCTTCCTGAGGCTTCACCAGCAGATGCCAGTGCCACGCTTCCCACAGAGCCTGCAGAACCATGAGCCAATTAAACCTCTTTTCATTTTAGGCAATGCAAGAATGGCCTAACATCTCCTTCTATGCGTAAGACATCAGGCAAGAGACTTGGGATGCATATACATGAAAGCAGTCTTGCCACAATCTAGTGAAGAAGGCGGACGGACATGGACACACACACACACACACACACAAATTAACTGGAGGAACCAAGGCTGGCTGTAGTGAGATGCTGATGGTCCTCTGGGATTGCAGACTCATCAATACAGTTGTGTGTCCACAAAAATGAGCCCACATTGAACTATCACTGGGACATGTGCTCACCTTCCATCGCCACACAGGGAACACAGGCTCTACCCAGTCACCCAAAGCAGATACTTCAGTGTCCACCGTGACTCATCCATCTCAGCCCTCTCACCTACTCCATCCCTGAATCCACACCACTAACTGAACATGCACAATCCACTCACTTCCCCTACCTCTGGGCAACTATCCTAGTTCAGACTTCCAAGATGTCTAACCTAGTATCAATGCAACAGCCTCTGAAAGATCCCAGTCCCCTAGCCTTACACCATGCCAACTGGTCTCCATAGTTGCCACTGAAGTGCTTAAACAAACAAAAGTATGCACATGCCACTATGCTGCCTACATTTCTTCAAGAGGACCTCTCCAGCCTTATCTTCCACACCTCCTCTCATACTCCATGATCCAGCCAGCCTAAACACTTTTCAAGTCTTGAAATGTTCCACACTACCTTCTGACACCTGGGGGTCCTCTACCTGAAACTTGATTCCCTATCCGCTCTTTATCTCTTTGCCCAGTGAGTTCCTATTCATTCTCTGGTTGTCAGTCCCTCTTGGTATTCCTCCCTAACCTCTCTAGACTTGCCAGGCTCAGTGGTTATGCTGAACAGTTTTGTTTTTGGGGCTATACACAGCCCAAGCTGCCTTCTTATATAGTAGGAATCCTTTGGGGCATGGGTCTTTGTGAGAAATAAAGACCATCTCTCCATCTGCCTGCTGCCTGGCAACCGCAGTGGCTTGGAAGAAAATGTCACAAAGATGCAAGAGCAATAAGAGATTTTTCAGTGGTAGAAGAGAGTCAACAGTCCAGCAACAGAGGTGGCAGTTTCTCCAGTGGCAATGTCACCAGCAGCAAAATTCTAGGCAGACTATTTACGTGATATTGCATTGGCTGTGGCCCCATCCAGCCAGCCTCTTTTGGTTACTGCCTGTTTTTTGAATACAGTTCCCCAGCCTTCCCATCATTTCTGAAAGCCATCTATAGACTTCCAAAAAATTCGTTTTTTGCTTAAGTCAGCCAAGTCCATTGCCATGGTTGACAATCAAGAATAATGACTGGCACTGTGACACTCTGTGGGCATGATATTAGACTGCACTGCCAATGCACATTTGCTTATCTATATTCCCCACTATCTTATCATTTTACTCTAGTGCAATAGCTGGTACAAAGTAAGCATGCACTAAATGCTTCCAGAAGGAATTACTTAGTCCACTAGTAATCAGAGTGGGAAAGCAAGGAAAACTCTCAGTGGAGGACCACAGTACATTCCTAAAAACCAATCTCATCTACAGTCGAAAGAGTCACAACTACCAATTAGAAATATACAGCTTAGTTTATCCGCCAATTCATGGATTTAGAAAATAGGATTCTTCTATCTGGGATACGAACCACCTTCTTAAAGGAGACCAGAAGGAGAAGGATCAAACTAGGAGAGTCTATTTGATTAAGGAGTTATTTTATTAGCAAGTTATACTCTAATAAAACAAACATAATTGGAATGAATGTTGGAGAAAATGTCCCTTCGACCAGGTGAATACTCACTAGTCCTAGAGATCTAACTCAAATACTGTAACATATCCTGCAAGCTTTCACCACTCCTCACCGTCAATCAGCCATAACTTCCACTGTGCTCCCTCACCTCCATTTTAGTGCTTAGAAAAAAAGTATTGTATTTATTTATATGTGTCTCTTCAAGCAGATCTCAAAATCCTCTAGGGAAGTAGATTACTATTTCCAACACCTAGAAGGGTGTTTGGCACAAAGCAAGGACCAGTGTTTCTGAAGTGGAGCCACTCTGCTCTGCTTAAAAGGTACCAATGGAATTGTCCTATTGTTTGCAACTTTCTGTAAATGTTAATTTATTCCAAAATAAAGCTTTAAAAAACGCACCAGTAGCAACTGTGTTATCAGCAATTATCACACCTGCCTTAGATGTCAAAGAGAGCTTTACCTTGTGACAGTAGCAGTTAGTAATTTTGTATACAGCAAAGTGAGTCTCAGTTTGTAAAAAAAGGAGTAATTCCTACTACACAAGACTGCCACACTAAATTAAGCACAGTGAGTATGCCAAATGGCATATGAGCTTTTCCAACACGGTTCTAAAGGGTGCACGTTAAGGCCCTGTCTACAGTGTTCTAAGGGGACTAGCACCTCATCACAAAACAGATACATGCTACGACTATGCTGCCACTAGGCACAGACTGCAAGGCTGTAACTCAGATCACTATTAAGACCGTGATTACCTATAAAATAATTCTACATGTGTGTCTGTGTAAGTGGTTTGTCCTATTCCAGAACTCCCCAAAGAAATAAATGGGCTACACAAAACCCAGCGCAACCAACAGAGGTCGGCGGCCGCTGCCCCCGCCTCCACCAGCTTAAACTCCAGGAAGCCACGCACCCAGGGCGTGCTAGCTGGCTGGGAAAAGTGAGCATCTACTGGGAAGCCCCAACGCTGCCAGCAGCGGCGTCGGGCAGCCGGGGATCTCCCCGCAGTGGCGCAGAGTGGGCTGACGTCGGGAGTGGCCAGGACCCTTCGCTGCCACCGCGGTGCTCTCGGTCACCGTACTTGTGTGCCGTCCGCTCGCCCACACCAGCGTCGCTTAACGGAAGACGCGAGTGGCACCGGCGCAGCCGGGGCACCTGGGGGTGAATCGAGAGTGGGCGGGCGGTCCAGGGAACCCCTGCTGGAAACCAGACGCTAAATCTTGCAGCTCTGCAGAGAGGCGAGCATCTGCTGTCCCTTAGAGAGCAATCTGGGAAAACGAGAACGGCCCGATTTCGGTGCAGGGGTGCGTGCCGAGGTGGCGGGGGCCTGTTTCTGCGCGGACAGGCGGACCGGGCGGGGGACACGGAGGCCACGCTGGGTCCGCAGCCCCGAGGTGTCCACGAGAGCTCCGCCCGTGGGACGGCGCGGCGCGAGGCTGCCCGCGGGACGGGCCTGCGGAGCGAGCGGGTGAGAGGGCAGGGCAGGGCGGAGGCGGCGGCGGAGGGCGCCGGGGGAAGGAGGGCGGCGAGGCAGCGTGAGCGAGCGAGCGAGCGAGCGAGGGTGTGTGTCCGGGGGTGAGTCTGGGCGGGTGTCGGGAAGGAAGGCGACAGGGAGGGGCGGAGGCGGGGGGAGGGGGGAGGAGAAAGAGCGAAGGGCCCAGACGGGGCTCCGGGCGCCCAGCCGCCAGGCTCCGAGTCCTCAAGCCACCTCCCCCAGGCCCCGCGCTGACGCTGGACGGTCCCCGCCTCCAAACCCCCCGCCCCGGCCAGAGAATAACTTACCTGTTTGGCGACGGAATCGCTCCTGCTCGCCCCTCTGACTGACTCCTCCGGCTCACCGTCTTCCCTTTGGGAGGAAGGGGCGGGACATCCTGTTTCTCCGTTGGAGGACTTCCGGCGGCTTTCAGGGCGACTCCGTCGTGGATGCAGAGCTGGACACCACAATCAAAAACAGAATCGTGGAACTGGTTTAGTAAAATCCAGGTCGAGTTCCTTGTTTTTTATCCAAGTGGCCGGCAGGCCCATGTGCTGTCTTGTTTTTAACCCATCAGCTCTTGCCGGAAGCCGCTCAGAGATAAAATAGGAAGTCCCTCCCCTCCCCTGGAGAAGGAAAACGGAAAGCCGAAGGAGTCAATCTAAATACGAGGCGCGTGTCGGGCTCGCAGGCCGGCGCTGTCAGCCGGGTAGGGCCGCCTGGAGTTTCTAGAGGGTCCCAGAACGGGTTCTTCCCGGGCCGATCCCGCCTGCTTTCTGCTCCGTCCCTCCACCCGGCCCCCGCTCTCTGTAAGGGACCCCGAGGGTGACGCCAGAAACACGGAGAAGGCCCAGACCCGCGAGGCCTGCGCTGGCGAACGCAGCTCGCTGCTGCTCTGCCTGCTTCCCCCGGGCCTGGAGTGGCTCCTGTCGCTTCTGGCGATCTCATTTCGAGAAATGACTTGCGTGCAAGGCGACGATATGAGAAAAATCTCTCAAATGGCTCCCAAAATGAGGTCCTTGATTCAGAGGCCACAGGAAGCCGCCAACCGAGCTCTGATACCAAAGAGGAGGCCAAGAAGCGGAACGTGGCTTGGTGGCCCGTTTGGCAATAAAAGCTGAAACACCTTGGGTATTTAAAACGTTCGACAAGGACTTTTTTATGAACGTTAACGGCACAACACACGGGCTTGTTAAAGGAAAAAAAAGGCAGGACTCCAGGATGTGGTGGTTAGCAGCCCGCCTGCTCCCTTGTGCAGGTCCCCTCATGAACCTCGAGTTAAGAGATTTTTCTTCTGAAACTCAGAATCTAGTAGGGAAGACCTGTGTAGACGAATAAATACATCACAGCTTGTTAAGTGCTGTGACAAAGACGCAGTGAAATCCTGCTGGAGGTCATCTGCCGTACTGAAGAGTTTTGGCTATGCTGTAGGCACAGGGTTAGGGATAGGGTTAGGGTTAAACTCTGTAATGGGATGTTATGTGATCAGATTTCTCTTTAGGAAGATAATTGGCCAGGCCAGGCGTGGTAGCTCACGCCTTTAATTCCAATGCTTTGGAGGCCGAGACGGGTAGATTGCTTGAGGCTAGGAGTTCGAGACCAGCGTGGTCAACATGGTGATACCCTGTCTCTGCTCAAAATTTAAAAAATTATCCGGGCGTTGTGGTGCGAGCCTGTAATTCCAGCTACTCGAAGGGTGAGGTGTGAGAATCGCTTGAACTGGTGGCGGAGACTGCAGTGAGCCAAAATCGTGCCACTGTACTCCAACCTGGACAACAGAGCGAGACTCCGTCTCAAAAAATAATAATAATTGTAAGTAAATGGATTTTTTTAATGTTCTAAAGATAGGCTTTCTAGACCAAATCATCACTCAAGTCTAAGTCCAACACAGTTCAGTTTAATTCTATTCAAATTAGAATACATTAAAGTGATAATTCCTTACCTTTTTTAAATAGTTCATAGAGACTTTTTCGTCGACATCTGGTTCAATTCTGATTGTAATCCACATGAATTCTCTTATCATCCACACCAAGGAACAGTAATTTAGAAGACTCTAATAAACTATTCCAAGATCACACAGCTAGTAAAAATGGAATTCGACTTTCAACCCCAGAGTCGACCTTTTCCATCTATCGTAGACTCAGTTTAATATTGATAGTTTAAAATTCTAGAGAAAAATATGGAAAACAATTTCCTCACAACAATAACATTGACCAGCCTGCCAATGTTATTTTTATTCCATTAACCAACATGTATTGGGTGCCTGTTGTATAAAAGATAAAACTGGGTTCTGCCTTCAAAGAGTTCCCTTGAAATTTAAGATTTAAAAATTTAGTACTTGATACAGTCTTTTAATAACTATTGCAACAGTGTTGGTCTTGTATGACAAGGTGATAAATTTCTTAACAAAAGCTAGCACAATTCTGTATATGGATTGGGCATTCTGCTGGTCTTTGGGTGATTTATCTTGCTACCTTTCTTTCTTTGGGTGTTTAGTTAACATTTATCTTCCTCCTTTGAGCAATGAAGTAAAATCTGAGTTTCTTTTTCAGTTCTATTTTAAGTTGAGTATTTTGAGTTAGTAAGACAGGACCTTAAAGAAGTCAGTTTGACCTCATTTCCAACTGAGCGATTCCATTGGTCTGATTGAAGACTAATTGTCTGATTCTAAGGCAAAAGGGAAGTCTTTTTTTTCTTCCTCTCTTTCTTTTTGAATGAATAATGCTTGACATGGATAACACAGACTTGTAGTAAAGACTGAGAGCTCTAGTGATGAAAACACCATTGAAAAAATTACAACTGAGAAAACTATAACAGTGAAAGAGATCTGACCTAACCAATTCCATCTTGCTTCTAAACTCCAAGCTGTCCTTGTTCATTCCTGGGCATAGGCAGAACTAACTCTGGGAGGAACTTCGTTTATAGTGTAACTTTGAAACAAAGTTGATAACAGCTAATTCCGAAAACAAACCCCCTTCTTGCCTGGGAACCTTTGTCGGACTAACAAATTAGCCACAAGATTAGAAATTATATTTTAGGAGTCATGCAGCTGGAGGCCACAAGACTCTTAACCTCCCCAGTTGCTCCTAAGGATAACATCACTATTGTAAAACCCAAGACTGGTGCTTGAGATGTTTTTCAGAGCCTACACACATGGATCAGCTGGTACCACTCAGATGGATAAACTTGTTCATCTAGTCCTGTGGCCCCCACCCAAGTACTGACTCAGTGGAAGAGGACAGTTTCATCTTCCTATAATTTCATGTCACACAGGAGAAATCAATTCTTCTAACTCCCTGGTCTCCTACTCCCCAAATTCTCCTTTATAAATCACAGTCTGAATTTTCAGGGGACTGATTTAAGTAATAGTAAAACTCTGGTCTCCTGTTCAGCCAGCTCTATGTGAATTCAACTCTTTATTGCACTTCCTCTGTCTTGATGAATTCACTCTGTCTGGGCAACGGGCAAGATGAACATGTTGTGTGTTTAAAATGATACAAGGAGCACCTGGGTCAAGACTTGCTCAAAGCCAGCTCCACCTGAGACCTGTTAACCAAAAAAAAACCAAAAATTCCTTTTTTTATTTAAATCCTTTTACTTGCATCGTGACATGACGCAACCTACCTGATACAGAGGTTTCGATACCAAATCCACCAGTTACAGCCTTAAGAAAGCTGCAGAGGAAAAATTCAGAGCAAAGATTTTCCGTCTTCATAAGTTCAAAATGTATAATCATGCCTGAGCAAAGAAAGCAATCAACATATTCACATCTTTTTCTGGGTATATGTGATATTTTTCCAGTGGATAATGAATAGTAAACACTTTTACAGTAGCAGGTTGACAAATTAAAATGAGAATGTACAAAAGAAATTAAAATATATCAGCTATTTTAGAAAGCCAGGCATTATGCTACAAACCTTATATGCATTATCTCAAATAATTGTTATAACCACTCTAAATAGATTATTTCCATTTTACAGATGAGAAAAATGAGGCTCAAATAGGTGACATCATGTTCTCTGATTTTGTCTACGTTGTGTACCTTGTGACAATTTTCCTCTAATACCCTAAGCATATGTTCACCTGCATGCTGCTTCTACTATTCTGGACCTCTGCACTGGTTATAATCCCAACAGAGTGGCTCGCTGAGAGGAGGGAGATACTTTACAGATGCGGCACTAGCACTTCACCCTAACATCTTCTCCATACTGAGGCAACATTTTTGAATACACAGAGAATGTCTAGGATTCAACTGTTGAGAAAAATTGATGTAAGTCTGTTTGTCTCAAAGCTATCAGGAACTACAGTTTTATTAACCTAAATATATACCTGGTTTGATGATGACTATGTAGATGTATTTTTAGCTTATTATTATTTGTGTCCATCAGCCAATGAGTGGATAAAGAAAATGTGATATATATACACTATGGAATACTACTCATCCGTAAAAAGGAATGAAATAATGGCATTTGCAGCAACCTGGATGGAATTAGAGACCATTATTCTAAGTGAAGTAACTCAAGAATGGAAAACCAAACATTTTATGTTCTCATAAGTGAGAGCTAAGCTATGAGGATGCAAAGGCGTAAGAATGATACAGTGGACTTTGGGGACTTGAGAGGTGAAGGATAAAAGACTACACATTGGATACAGCATGCACTGCTTGAGTGATGGGTGCGTCAAAATCTCAGAAATCATCACTGAAGAACTTCCCCATGTAACCAAAAACCACCCGTTCCACAAAAACTATGGAAATAATAATATGTTTTTTTTTTTTTCAATTTTGAGATTGAGTCTTACTCTGTGGCCCAGGCTGGAGTGCAGAGGAGTGATCTTGGCTCACTGCAACCTCCACCTCCCAGGTTCAAGCTATTCTGCCTCAGCCTCCCCAGTAGCTGGGACTACAGGCATGCCCCACCACACCTGGCTAATTTTTTGTATTTTTAGTAGAGACGGGGTTTCATAGTGTTAGACAGGATGGTCTCCATGTCCTGACGTTGTGATCTGCCCACCTCAGCCTTCCAAAGTTCTGGGATTACAGGCATGAGCCACCACACCCGGCCCGAAATAACATTTTTAAAACTTTACTATTTTTGGATAAAATTTTCATACATTCTCAGAAAAAAATTTAGAATTGAGGTATCTAATAGAGAACCGAGTTAAATTATTGCCACGGAAAAACACAGCAAGTGGCATAGCCACTTTATGAATTTATCAGTGAGCAATGGCTAGATTACGCTTACTGGTTTATAACCAAATCTTAGTAGTTTATAACAACAAATGTTTATTGTTAATTCTCACTACAAATTCATCACGACATTGCTGGATGCTACACTCCATGTCTACTCTCTGCGGGACCCAGATTCATGGGACCTCTGCTATCCACATTAAAGAGAAAGAGAAGACGACAACATGCACCAGTTCTTGAAGCCTTGGCCAGAAGTAAAATATATCTTACCTGTTCACATTGTATTGGGCCAGGGCAACTATCATGGCCACAAGTGACTTCAAAAGGATGGGGAAGTGCAATCTTGGACCATGTGTCAGAAGAAATGAAAACATTTGGTGAAGAGCGGTAATGACTGTCTTTACAGGAAAAAAACAGAAAAAATAGACATGATTTCTTATTTCAGTTTCATCATTTCATCCTACTGTGTTACCTAAACCTTCTGAACCTCAGTTTCATATTACTAAAATGGAATAGTGATAAAGATGATATTCACTTCAAGGACTTTGTATTAACTAGGATAAAAAAAATTTGAAAACTGTAGAAAGTTATGCAAATTAGAAATGTATAATATTACTGTTTTGAGAGTGATGGTGAAATATAGAATAACTGAAAGGATAACACAAAGCAGTTATACCAGGAGGCTTTTTAGCTGCAGTTAATAGAAATGAACCTCCACTACTTTAATCAATAAAAAAGTGTATCAGCTCACAAATTTGTTGTCCAGATATAAAGGAGGCTTCAGAATTTATTGACTTCGGAGTTGAATGTTGGTATCAAGGACCTAGATGTTTCTCATCACTCTGCACTTCAATTCTCAATGCCTGAACGTCAGGCTGTAGTAAGATGCCTAGAGTGATTCCAGGGATAACATC